GAGTGGGGGTTGAAAAGGAAGGTCATTATTTCCACCTCCTACTCACAACATTTTTGACACCAGATGTTCATTTATGGAAAAAGTAAATGAGGGAAATGAAAACTTATGAGGGTGGGTCATTGAATGAATAATGTATGCTCCTCACAAACATGAAGGGTAGCTGCACAAAGACAGTAGTGTTTGGACTATTTTAGGACTATTATTTAGTTTGGACTAAATAATCTTTCTGACTGAAGCAGTTCATCAGCTGGAGTGATAATGCCTAGAAAATATGATTTGATTTAGAAAGCTGGAAGGCTATAGCTTCTGGGCACATCAAAAGGATTTGTGGACACTAAGACTGATCCTGCTGCCTCTGTGAGGATGTCCCAACCCATCCCACCTCCAGCTCACTCTTCTGCCCCCTTGATATACTAACTCAGCTTGCATCCCTCACTGAATTTAGGTCTTTATCAAACTGACTGAAATAGTGACCTTCCTTCCTAAAATATATTAATAGATTTTATTTCTTACAGCAGTTTTAGACTCGCAGTAGAACTGAACATAAAGTACATAAATTTCCCATGTCTCTTCCAGTTTTGAGTACCTCCTTACTAGCTGTTACAAGACAGTTACGAGATACTCCAGGCTCATCCTTTGTGATCCCTATTCCAGTCCTGGGACCAGTCATTTGTTTTTCCAAGGAGATGAGGTCTTATGCTGGAGAATGGAGTTAGAAATGAAGATCTGGGTGCTGGGCGTTCACTGCTGCTAGAGTGTCACTGCTTCTAGGTCCACTGCCAGGTGTCCACTCGCTCGTGCATGAACCTATCCTTTATGTAACCACTGTAGTTTATGTATGTGAAATATTGTATGCAGGTGTAATGAATGTATGTATGATACTGAGGTTTTCAGGTCCACCACCTCACAGATCATTTCACGACCTCCCCTTGCTTCTCTGTAACATCCTACCCACAGAGACACACCTGGCTCCCCAACCCACCACACAGGTGACTGCTGGGTTGCAGCACATACTTGTACAATATCAGGAATTGGACCTGTACCCTGTGTTCATTCATTTTTACTCCTCTCTACCGCTCTATTCCTGTCCACCGTACTCCATCGTGTCATCCAACATGTTTCACTTGTTTGTTTGTTTGTTTGTTTTCCTCTTATATAACAAGAGGGATTCTTATTGCTCAGTCTTCACGACCTGAAACTGCTGAACAAGTAGGTGCTCAAGTACTGTTAGCAGAATGAATGAAACATTTTACACTTATTGCCTGAATTAGGTAGATCTTTCCAGTACTTTGTTATTCAGCTTTGAGATACTTCAAATTATAATAGTAGAGTACAATTTAGAATTTCACAGTTCAACTTATGGCTCTCCCCAACTGCTAGTTATAACCACCTCGCAGAAATGGAGAACTATCACGAATTTTGTAGCTGGTGGTATCCTGGAGATCCATTTTCTTTATTGAGGTGACATCAGTTTACAATACTAGACATGATTTAGGGAAATAGGTTAACACCTTCCCAAATGTATGTTACCACACCAATCTCACCATCAAAACATCCACAGCCCTTTGGGTCACAGCCTTAATCCTGCAGTTACATTTGTTTTGTTTTTATTGTCAGTTTCTTTCATTTGCTTTTTTCCTCTATATTCCACAAATAGCGAAATCATCTGATATTTTCTTTCTCTTTCTGACTTATTTCACTTAGCATAATACACTCTAGTTCCATCTATCTTGATACATATGGCAAGAGTTAATCTTTTTATAGCTGAGTAACACTCCACTATGTATATATACCACATCTTCATCACTATTTAGTTGATGGACATTTAAGTTATTTACACAACTTTGCTATTATAAATAGTGTTGCAACAAACATGTGACTGCCTATATCCCTTCTTCAGGAAGTAATTTTGCATTCTTCAGCAAGGTACCCAGGAGTGGAATTATTGGATGATACAGTATATCTATTTTTTATATTTTGAGGAAATGCCATACTGCTTTCCACAGGAGCAGGACCATACTCTATTCCCAACTAACAGTGCATAAGGGTTCCCTTCTCTCTTCTTCCTTGGCAACATTTGTTGTTTTCTGTGTTTTGTCTTTGTTTTGATAAGGGACATTCGCATTGGAATAAAGTGACATGTCAATGTGGTTTTGATTTGCATTTCACTCATTACAAGTGCCATTGACCATGCTTTCGTGTTCCTGTTGGCCCTCTATATTATCGCCTGTGGAGAAGTGTCCATTTAGCCCTTCAGCCCATTTTTTGATTGGTTCTTTGTTTTCTTTTTGTTGCACTGGGATGAGTGTTTATTCTTGGATATTAGGCCGTTGACTGACATATGTGCAAAAACTTTCTTCAACCCAGTAGGCTATGTTTAAATGACAGTGTTCAAAAGTTTTTAAAACCTGATTTAGTCCCATTCATTTATTTTTGTGTCTGTTTAACTTGCAATTGGAGTTGAGTCTCTAATGGCATTCCTGAAGCAATGATGAGACATATTTTGCTTGCTTTTCTCTATGTATTTTATGGTTTCTGGTCTTACATCTAAATCTTTAATCCATTCAAGTTAATTTTTTGTATGGAATGAGAGAGGTCTAGGTTCATTTTCTGCATGGTTTGTCCAGTTTTCTTAGCACCATTTGTTGAAGGTTTCACTTCTTTTGGTCTTTTATCACATATTAACAGCCCAAATAATCTGAGTTTATACATTTCTGGGAATGCAGCTCAATTATGGACAAAAGATAGGCCTCTCCAACAAACAATTCTCAATTAACAGCAGGATGCTGGAATATTCAACTCAGTTCTGAAACTATCCAGCTGGAGATAAAATCCTGAAAGTAAAGGGATCAGTCTCCCAAGATTGTTCTAAGCAAGCTCTAGCTAACTGGGTTCTAGCAAGGTACAGATAGTTTCCATTACCCCCACCTCAGATGTAGATGCCCTCAAAAGCCCAAATTATCATCTGTGCTTCCTGACCAAGTGGCTTTAAGCTAGAGGTCCCTAGGAATCGCCACCTCAGGTTCAGGTAGTTTGCTAGAGTTGCATGAGGAACTCAGGAAACTTATCTACTCACCATATCACTGATTTATTACAAAGGATATTAAAGGATACACTTACCAATCATATAAAACACATGCATAGGGCGAAGTATGCAGGAAGGCACAGAGCTTCCATGTCTTCTCCAGGCAAGCTATTTTCCCACTAAAACCTTCAATTTCACCAACCTAGAAGTTCTCTGAAGCCCCTCCCTTGGGTTTTTACAGAGGTTGTATTGCAGACGTGATTGATTAAATCACTGGCCACTGGCAGCTAAACTGAACTTCAAGCCCCTTTCCTCTGGGGGAGGATAGTGGGGTTGGGAATAGAGTGTGACTGGAAGTCTCAACCCTTTATTCAAGTTGTCTTTCCTGATATCCATCCTCCTTCCTCAGTGTTCTCCAAAAATTAGGTTTATTAATAAAAGACAATATTAGTACTCAGAAAATTCCAAGCTTTTTGAAGGCACTATACCAACTACTAGAACTGTAGATGAAGACTAAGTAAGTATGAGAAATATGTATTTTGGTCACCCAAATGTGCAAAATATATACTTCATGTAAATCATATTTCCCCAACTATTACTCAAAGCTTCTATTTTTCTTCTAAGGCCTGATTTTAACCACTACCTTCCCCTATTCCCAAACCTTGCCAAGCTAAACCTCCCCTGTTGGTCTCATTAAATTTCCTAGTCACCCTTGATTCTACCAATTGTAAATATTCTTCTCCCATTTGTTAGGAACAGAAACAACATAATCACTATCATAAATTCAAATCAGAGTTAAATGAAAAAATATAAAAATTAAGCTGTTAACTTTTAATTAATCTTCAAAAAAGAACCATGAAGGCATGTAAAATAATTTTAGAAAATACAGAAATTTGCTCTATTTTCTTTAGCATGGAAGTCTGAGGTTAAAGAACAAAGACTAATAGGAAACATATGGGGAAGATCAGTAACAAGATGAAATCTTGGCCTAAATACATCTGCCACATTTTACATACCAATGTCTCAAATAATAGATTAGACCTTTACAATATTGCCAAAGCACCATTTTGAAACACTGTAAATATTTTTAAAATCTGAAGCATAGCAAGAAAAAAAAAATTGAGTTCTTTTTAAAAATCTAATGAAAAACACTATTTTGAGGAAAATAAAATGAACTCCAGGAATTATTTTACCTTATTAGTGTGCACAAGCCTGAAAGAATCTCCTAAAGAATGAACTCAAGGTTCAGTGCCAAGAGACACAAGTTAACTCTCTGTTTAAAAAAGCATAAAAAATATAGCATTTAAGCAATTAACTGTTATTTTTCAGAAAAGAGATAATAAAAAGTGAAATGAATCTGCAAAATAAAAGTAATAGTGCCTGGTGAACAGAAGTTTCTTATTCCACTTTATTCAGTACTATATATTTTTTGTACTATTAAAAACAGGCAAATCAGAGATATATAAGAGTAATGCTCTAAGTTCTGTAACCAAGACAGTGATTTTTATATTGAAGGTTAGTAGAAGGCATTCAACTTTGTGTTTGGGAGAATGGTGAGGAAAGGGAAACCTGATAGAAAATATGTAATTCGTTATATGGAAAAGCTAAATATTTAATCTTTAATACTAATGAAAATTCATTTAGTTTTTTAAAAATAAACTGTGAAATGCTGGTTCCTTATCTCAATTAGGGAACACTGGTTTAGTAAACACACAAGGTATCAGACAACTGAGATCTCAGAGACTGAGTTCCACCTTAAATGATGGAGACACTGAGTTTCATTTTACAGAGGACCTTAATTTGAAAAATTCTTTGGCATGAAGATGAAAATAAAAACAGTAATCAGTACATGCTGTTTCATTTAGTTCTGTTTGCCTTTCATATTAGAGGAAATTCTTACCACACCTCAAACCAAAATTAAGGGAAAAAGAAAGAAGTAAGCCACATAAATCTGACTAAAACACAGGCATCTTAATTTGAATCCACAAAGTTTTGTATAATGAAAAGAAATACATAATTTTAATTCAACCCAAGAGTTTTCCAAGCAGATTATATTTGCTTAAATTGCAACAGTAATTCAAAGGACAACTTATGTGGATACAGCAGTTACTGTGGATTTTTAAGAGACTCAGTTAAAGAATTTAGGAATTTCTGATTCATTGACAGGCTTTGCAAATTCATCAACTCCTGAAAACTAAAGCAAAATCAACAGGTATGATAAAATAATTTTCAATTTTTAAAGAAAGTATGCCTACTGTTAAAATTTTAAAAGTATATTTGAATTGTTTAACATTAAAATAGACTGCCATCATCATAAAAGCACAATTTTTATAAGTAATATCTGGTAAAAGATACATTAAAACTTTGATGAGCCAAAATATTCAGGAGAGAATTAGTATAGTGGTTTTAATTTTCTAACTTAGTTTATCCAATAATTGTTATTTATATATTTTTACTTTGAAAGATTCACAGGTTTATGGAATCAATTTCTGTCGTTCACATCTTAGGTAACTAAAAAAAATTGTAGAGTCATACATCTGAGCAGTGCTAGTAATTCTGGTTTTAGGAGAAATAGTTACTTGTACAAATACCACTAGAAATGTTTTAAAAATTTCTCCACTGACCAAATACCTGAGATTAAAATGTTTTTGCTTTCATGTGCCTCTTAAAGGGAAGTGAGTGTTCTACTTAACACTGAAGGATCGAATTTCTTAGATTCAAGTTAATTAAGATTTAGACATATTATGGCTAAAAATAACCGAGCCATTCATATTTATATATCAAAAATCTTATTTTCTTGAGTCTTGGGTGTAATAATTTTGCACAATATTTTACAGAGTTAAGTTTAAACTGCTATGGAAAAATTTTGAACCATATGTTAATACTTGGTTTCTTATATACTGGCTTTCATAGCATACCAGTAAAACAACTGAGCCTTTAAAATAATAAAATATTGTGCAGGTTTGCAATTACTTTAAATGTTCCAGGACAAAGTCTACTCATTGTAATTAATAATTTTAGAACTTTCTTAATGAAACTATGAGTGCTTTTCATCTCCAAATAAGAAAAATGTTATGAACGAGGAATCTTTATAGTCAAATTATGAAAATTTCATATTTACAGATAATTTTAAAAGTTAACAAATAATTTACTTTGCTTTAAACTTTCTTTTCCATATTTGGTATTTTTCCACTAGACAAGGTAGTAGAAAAATTAAGAATGCAGTATATTGGTATGGAAAAATAAGCAATAGAAAACAGTTAACTTCTCCATAACTATGCTTATTTATAAAAATCATGGTACAAAATAAACACCTAGAAATAATACCAGTACAGATAAGCATCTCTAACAAAATGCAACATAAAACTTATTAATTCAATTATTCTTTCAATAAATCTTTGAGCACTAAAGCACAGATTGTAATCGATTTTAGCAAAAATTAGAAATCAGGAAATGAGGTGACTGAGTAAAGCTATTTTGTTATGAGTTATCCTCTAGGGAACAAGACATAAATTATGGAATAGGAAAGGCAGAACAAAATAGTCTTAGTACATGGTCAAGAAGAGATTAGTTGAATGAAAAATTGGGATTCAGAATAATTTTAACAAAGAAGATTAACAGCATGAAAATTAAGAAGGATAGGAATTAATGGCCATGGAGGTGGGATGGATTTCACATCTGAGAACTGCACTTGGTCAAATGGGAGCGGGACATGTCTGGGGCCAGGGTGAAGTTCTCAAGGGGTGAGGACCAAGAAGGAAAGCTATCTTTAAGGAAAGGCTTTCTACTTAGGTGGCCAAGGAGACAATAAAGCAAACAGTAAGAAGCCCTTTATTTTCAAAGAGACCCCAATCACCAGGCTCTAATTTGAAGTCAAAAGTATGCAATTAAATGAAGGTCAAAAGTAAACCTATCTCCTTTTTCCTTCCCAATAATTTCTCTTAATTGCTGAACAACTGTCATGATAATCACCACTAACTGATGATAGCTAACTATCTTAATATAAGGATAAAATTCAGAGTTCCGATGAGCAGTGTTTTTTTTTCTTCTTCTTCAAAGTTTGTGTAATAGTCAACTTCTGAGACACCTCCCCCCGCCCCCCAGCCATGTGACTGGCCCTGTTGAATCACATATCTCCCGCCTCTCTGTTCCTTCTTTCCTCTTTCTGGTGTATTGAAACTGAAATTATGTATAATAAATGTTTGAAGAAACTATTATGTTGTACTATAAAGAATATGGATAACTGCATGCATTTAATACATAAAATGTTTTTAACAAGTAACAAGTAAAATGTATTATACCTATTACCAATTTCCTGAATCAAGTGATGTCTTCAAAGACAGCACTGATGTGTCTGCTGTAAGCTGTACTTTTATCTGCCTGAGAATATGTTTATCTGTTTTATTTATACTCTTTACAGAGGCTATCAAGCAGTGCCTCACCCCTAGAAATAATTCAAGACAATGGTTAACTGATGTAACCCAATCACACTAAGTAAATCACTACTTACAAAGTATATTAGTAACCACCTTCATAAACAATACCTAGTACAGGTAAAGAGTAAAAGCAACAGAAAGAGCGGCCCCAAATAGACTCAGTAGGAGCTTCCCAGTCCTGTGTCCTGGCCAGCCAGCACTAAGTTGCTGCCTTTGAAGAAGAAACCAGAATTTCTCACTTCCCTCTCCTGGGATTTCCTGTGATGATCACAGCTCAACTATATTGTGATAAATGTTTAGTCCAGACTGCAAAGACTATGGTTCTGGATTCAGGTTCTCCAGATTCTGGTCCTGATAGTCTTTTATGGTCCTGATAGT